TTGAACCGCCAGCCTTCTGGTTAGCAGTCAAGTGCCTTTAGGCACTACGCTACCAGAGCTCCTAGTATTCATCTTAAGAGGGTATTTTGCTTTAAAGATTATTTTTTTCATGATCAGCTCCTGATAATGTTTTTCTCATTTTTGTAGAAAAAGAAAAAAGTAGTAAAGTATGTCTTCCTTGGTTTTACTTGTATCTAGTTGATTCAAAGGAGCTCTGGTAGCATAGTGCCTAAGGCACTTGACTGCTAACCAGAGGGCTGGTGATTCAAACCCACCAGCCACTCCTCGGAAGAAAGGTTGGGCAATCTACTTCCATAGTGATACCGCCTCGGAAACCCAAGGAGGGGTCGCTATGAGTCAGGGCCAACTCAACAGCACATAACAACAACAACAACTTGATTTAGGGAAGACAACAGTTTCCCAAATACTTGAAGCAGGTGTCATGTGAAAGTGAGATTAGACCATTGATTAATAAGTAGAGATTATAGAGATAATTTTGGCTAAGTAAGATGTTCTTGGTACTACTGCTGCATAACAGACCACCCAATAACTTAGAGAATTAAAACAACAAGAATTATTTTTTATCTTACATAGTTTCTATGGCTCAGGAATTCGGAAAGGGTTGACTGAGCAGCTATGTCTTAGGGTCACGCATGTGAGCAGATGGTGACTAGAGCGGGGCAGCTAGAGAGCTGGTCAGCTGAGGGTTGGCATCTCTCTTTCCTCATTTAGTTTCAGGACTTTGCCATGTGGTCTTTGCACATGGGCTGGTTTGGGATTCCTCATCTCATGGAGGTTAGATTCCAGAGTGAGTGTTCCAACAGAGCGACGTGGAAGTATATAGCATTTTTATGATCTGGCTTCAAATGTTGCGTAGTGTCACAAAGATCTACCCAGGTTCCAAGAAAGTGAGCATCACCCTTACCACTCAGTGGGAGGAGTGTCAGGATCCCATTGTAAGAACATCACGTGGGCAGGAGAGATCAAGGAGGCATATTTGGGGAGAAAAGCAATCTTTCCCATGAGATAAAACCTTTTTAACACTTAAAGTTAGTTAAAAAGGAAATATATGAATGAAAATACCCCATTATTGCTAATATTTCAAATCAGAAACTTTTTTGAACCCCTCCTCAGTGTTAGAACCCCTCCTCTGTGTTAGACTTACTGGGTGCTGTGATAGAGATTTCAATATGGATATCGCCTCTGTCCTCAAGTATTTCATAATCAGAAGTCAACCCCACAAAAAAAAATAAATCAGTGACTTAACATTTGTGATTACTAATGGTATATACAGAATGCTTTGGTTTCCTTGCACAGTGCCTGGTACAGACAAACCAAAAAAATCCATTGCCATAAGTCAGTCCCAACTCATGGCGACCTATGTATTATGGCATGGAACTGCTCCATAGGGTTTTCTTGAAGGTGATCTTTTACAGAAGCCGATTGCTGGGCTTCTCTTCTGTAGCATCTTTGGGTAGGTTCAGACCACTAATTTTGAGGTTAATAGCTAGGGATGAACCACTTGCAATGTGTTGACCCTAAGACTGAAAAATAAACAAATGTTTAATTGTTTATTAAACATTGAGCTGTAGTTCTAGGCCTGGAAGTATTCTAAGAACTGGAGATAATTCCTAAACTGAACAAAAGTACCTGCCTGCCCTAGTGGAGCTTACTTTCTAATGCGAGAGAAACAGACAATAAACAAGCAAGTATATGCTGTGATGTATGATAGTAATGCTGGAGAAAGATAAAACAGGGTACAAATGATAGAGCACTGTGAATTGGGGCCGGTAGTAGTTACTTTATGAAATAGAGTCATCTTGCCAGGCCTCTGTTATATCATTTGTCTTAGCCAATTAGATTTATTTCTTTTTTTTTTTCAAAAAGCTCTGGTGTTTTTTACGTTGTGATTGTATAGTCAGGAATGTAGTTAGACATCTGAAGATGAATTTAGCACTTTAGCATATCAAATATGGAATTGAACTCATTATTTCTTTTGCCACTAAACTAGCAAATGCTAATGATGATGAAAGAAAACACTTTTGCTACATCTTTAGAAAAATCAACAGATAAACAAAATTCTGTAGAGATCTTAATATCAGCTATTTTACTTTTTATTTAAACTCAGTATTTTCACCATTCATTGTGATTTATTTTCTATTCCTAATGGTTTTTGATAGGACTCCTTTTGGTTTATCTGAATTGTACATCGATTGGTAGGGAGGAAAAATATTTAAATGTTTGTAAGAGATGTGGTTACATGACAATAACAAAAACATCAGCATTCTCTTTACATGAGTAAAGGGCATACAGTGCCATAGCACAAAAGCCTTTGTAAATAGACATTAACTGCCCACACTTGTGGGTTTATTCTTGCCAAATTTATTCTTGCCTCATGTACATCTGAATTATTTTGTGGCAATAACTGAGTTTCTCATTGGTCTATATAGAAAGCAAAAATTTTCCATTATTGTCCTAAATCAATGCTTTTCACACAGATGGAGAAAGAAGAATGAATGATAGCTTGGAAGACATGTTTGATCAGACAACACATGAAGAATATGAATCCTGTTTGGCAGATAATTTCCCTCAAGTAGTAGATGAAGAGGAAGAATTGTCAGCTACAAAGAAACCAAGCAGTAAGACTATTTTTTCTTGGACTATGGATTTTCAGTTATACTGAGTTCAGAAAATTAAGCTATCAAGCTAGTTAACAGATAAAGTTTCTTGTACAAATTTGTTTTTCATGGTTAATTTTTTTAAGATAATTTTGCTTATAGAAGCCCAAACACAAAAAAAAATAATTATTCAGCAGGCTTTCCTTTACCTTTACCTTTTACTCAGCTTTAATCTTAGGCTGGTACTGTAAATTTCTTTTTAATAATGTAGGATAGCAATCAAAAGAAGAATAATTAAAACAAAAAATAGATGATCTATATTGAAAATTAGTTAAAATTCTTGCTAAATATCTCATTTTCATACTGTGAATTAAGTGGTCAGAATTTTTAGCCTAGAGCAAATGTTGTTAAATACTAGTTTAAATGAATGGACTTTCTGCTCTGGCCCAATCTGTCTTGGTTATGTTCTTCTTCTGTTTCTATCAGTTTTTTTATAGGACAGTCTTTATCTCAAAATGATGAGACCTTAATTAGATAAAGAACACAGGCTTTTGTTTGCTCAGTTTGTGGCAAAAACTTAATCAAGTAAATTTTGTAATAAAACAGTTCAACTATTCAAAAATTCTTCATACATTTTTTTCCCAAGAAGAACCTTTTGAAAATTGGTTGCAATTCCAAGAAAAAGAATGTTCTTTTACAAAAACATAATTACTAGTTTCCCTCTTTTTTTTTTTTTCTTTCTCCTTTTAAGTTACATTTGACATTGACTATACCAAACTTTCTTCACAATTAGCTTATGTGACATTGCTGCATTGTTCTTTTGATCTGTGGTAGCTCTTATTTCCTAGTATATCCCCAAGACACTGTCTTTCTTCACATCTCATTTTCTCACAGAGCTTGTATTAACAACTTCTGAAAAGATGGCTCCAAATCTGCATCTCTAGGTTTGACTTCTCTGGTGAATCCCAGTCCTGCATTTCTAAGTAATTACTAGATACTTTATTTCTCTTAAGAAGCCGTGATGGCACAGTAGTTAAGCACTTGGCTGCTAACTGAAAGGTTAGGGGTTCATGTTTATTGGCAGTTGTCTGAATTTGAACAAGAAATCCAAAATAAATAAATATGGAGAGTCAGGACATCATCAGCAACAGATGGTACTTAAAGCCATGAAACTCATTAAGTTTTTATTTAAATAGAAAAGAGAATTTTCGAGAGTTCTGAACTCTGGACATGGCAACTTTAAGAGCTGAGAGACAGAAAGAACTAGCAAAGGAGCATCTAGCTATATGGGCTCAGATTGATACTAGCAACTTGAAAGTTAAATAGGAATTTTAGGGATCAATTTATGTTAATGGTGGAAGAATAATTCAGAAAAAGAGGTGGAACAGTTGCATAACTTGAACACTATAATCAGTGTCACTGAACAATACATGTAGAAATTGCTGACTTGTATATTCTCCTGCATATAATTTCAACAAAAAAATCAAACAAATTACTTAGGAAAAAACTTGTTGAACTAGAAAAATCCAAAGGATGAAAAAATGCATAATATATCATTATAATATTGTGTGCCCTCTAGTCAATTCTGACTCATAGCAACACCATAGGATAGTATAGCACTGCCCCACAGGGTTTCCTAGGCTGTAATCTTTATAGGAGTAGATTGCCAAGTCTTTTCTCCTGTGTAGCCACTGGTGAGTTTGAACTACTGACCTTTTGGTTAGCAGCTGAGCACTTAATGCACCACTAACCAAACCAATCCAAACTCACTGCCATCGAGTTGATTCTGACTCATAGTGACCCCCATTGGGTTTCCAAGGCTGTAAATCTTTACAGAAGCAGCATGCCTCATCCTTCTTCCACAGAGTGGCTCATGAGTTCGAACCACTGATCTTTTTGGTTAGCCACCAAATGCCTTAACCACTGCACCACGAGGACACCTTACATTCAACTAATAGAAGTTCTAAAATAGACATAACTCAGCTATGGTGATAAATATCGAGTCAGAGATGGTGGTGGGGGAGAGAGACATGAGAGAGCATTCTTATACATGAGAGACAAAGGAGTCTGAGGAAACTTTAAGTAAGGGGTCAGAGAAATGTTTTCTGTCTTGATTTGGGTAGTGGTTACACTGGAGTATACATTTGTCAAAATTCATCAAACAGTATACTTCTAAAACATCAATGTGAAAGGTCCCTGGGTCTGCACTTGGCTTGTAACCCAAAGGGTTGCCTGTTTGAACCCACCCAGCGGCACCATGGAAGATCCAGGCCTGGCCAGTGGCTTACAGAGCCTACAGAGTCTCTCCAGATGAACATATAAACAAAGAATGCTTCAACAAAAAACTCAGTGTGGGTGATACGTAAATTTTACCTCAGTATAGTTAATTTTCCTTAAAGAAATCTTCAATGAATATAGTAAAATTCACATTCCTTTTGGCCTGCAAGGACCATCGTAATCTGGTACCTGCCCTCTTTTCCAACTTCATCTTCCCTAACACTTCCCGCTCTTTGCTAAATCTCAACTACACTGGCTTTCTCTTAGTTTCTATAACATATCAAGCCTTTTTTCCATCTTAGGGCTTTTGTCACATGCCATGTCCTTTATCTCAAATATCATCCCCCACCTCCCCGTTTTTGTATGGCTGAACTATTTTCATTCATTAGTTACTTAATGTCTGTTTCCTAACTACACTAAAATTCCATGAAGACAGGATGCCTGGTCTTGAATTTACATAATGCTTTGTAAATATTGATTTAGTAGGTGAAAGCATTTGGTTGAGGCTTGACAATCTGGAATTCAGATCCATGGGCTCTAGTTATTTTCTTATCAGTTTTGTGATAAAATTCTTTAATCCCTTTTATTCAACAGTTAGGACCTACCTTAAAGACCCACAATACAAATCAGTAAGACTTTTAAGTGGCCAGGACATAAGAAAAGCTGCCTCTTGTTTTTATTGTTTGGTTCATAAATAATAATGGGTATTTGAGTATTTTTTTAAAGTTCCAAAGTAGCTTTCTGAGACATGGTTTTTAGCTTTGTAGTAATTCTGAAATAAATGACACAATCTGCTCCCTCCTCATTTTGAAGATAGAAAAAAGTAGCTATAGAAAATAGAAATGATTTTTTTCCCAGGAGCCTAACGGATGAAACTCAGTAAACCTGGAAGTTTTGGTATATGTCAGTTTTGTCAAAGAAGTTAATTATCTCCCAGTGAGTTCTGCATTTAGTTTGTGTTATGCTTGTTTTGTTCATAGGTAATGGTGATAAACATGATAAAATCAAACAGAAAGCATTTGTGGAACCATATTTTAAGGATGATACAAGGTAAGTTGGTCTTGATCAATACCAGCAAGGTTATTGTAAGAACAACAGAGCTATCTTTGTCCGTTAGAATATCTCTAAGCTGTTAAATTGCAACTTGGGTTAAAATAGAATGAATGCCATTTACTTTATGGTCTCAACAACTAAGGCATTCAAGCATTAATAGGACAATTTAAAAAAAAAAATTTATCACTCCCTATTTTTTGACAGTGGTAATAGTAACTTTCTGTTTCATTAAAACAACTTTTATTTTGAACTTCATTTGAGTTTTGGGGATTTATTAAATTATGTACTGTAATTCTTACATAGTGTGAGTGCTGAGCCTTACATTGTGCTTCAGGATTATTTTATAAGGATTTTTAAACCTTTTAAAACAAACTTCAGAGGCGTTCCACCAAGATGGCAGAATAGGCAGAAAAACTACACAGACCCTCTTCAGCAAAGAAGGAGAGGAACCAATTAACACAGATACAGAAGATAATCCTGAAACCCTGAGTTTTGAAAGGAAGGATAGGAAAGTGGACTAAACTCCAACTACTAGAAGAACCTGCCTGAAAACAGTGAAAAAGGAGACATACAGAGCTGCAATATGTCAGCAATCCTGACGGCATGGACAGCTTGGATATTGCCACATGGTGTTAGAACCTAAGAATTAACCTAAAAATAGGCCCTGCTAGCCAGGGGCTGCCCATAAGACTGCACTGGTGGCTGGTGAATAAAAGGGAAGCAGCAAGGAGGGAGACAGGCTAAGCTGTGGACTTTTGGCTGTCTGGATGGTGTAGCCATTTTGAGTGTTTACAAGTAGTTCAACCATTTTTGGATATTTAAAGTGACAGCATTTTCTCAGATCCCAGGGACCTAAGGATAGGCTTCAGTTGCTGAGGACCACAAAGACATACCAGACACTGAGGACTAGAAAGGTGTGATATTCCCTGTGTTGCTCTTATACCCCGTGCCCTCTTGGCGAACAGAGGTGTGGCCATCCCTCACTTCCTCCCACCTTCTGGGCCAGCAGGAATTCCATCCCAGTCTGTGTGCCCTGCCCTGCTCTCCCCAGAATTTTTTTTTTCAGTTTATTTGTTTTTGTCTTTTTTTAATTTTTTTTTCCATCCTTTTTATTATTATTCTTTCTTCTTCCCTTCCCAGGTTCTAGTTTTGACTTTTTCTCTCCCCTTTTCTTGGTTCTCAGTTTTTCCCTTTCTTATGGTTCTCCCCATTCTTTGGATTTCTTTTTGCGTTCTTCCGATTTTTACCTTCATTATTCTCCTATACTACCTCTTTTCTCTTATTTCTCCCCTTCAATGTTGCATGTTTTTTGGGTATTTTTTTCCCTTTTTCTGTTCATATTTTTTTTTTTTTTGGCTTTTTAAAGTACTCTTTAAATATTTTCTCTCATGTATTGCCTTCCCCCCCCCCTTTTTTTTTTATTTTGGTGATTGTTCCTGTGTGTTTATGCAGTGTGTGTTTTTTGTCCTCTTTTATTTTTTTGATGGTTTTTCAATTGTTGTTTTTGTCTGAGTGGAAGACAGCAGCCATGCCCATGTGACCCAGCCACACCCATACCTCTTGCAGCTCCACATACTGAGTGAGAGCCACCACTTCCTTCTGTACCAACTGACCAAAAATACATGACCACCAATAAGAGCCTGACTTACCCTGTTCTTCACAAACAGTTAAGAGAGACCTGTGCACCCATTCTTATTCTCTATTACACCCACCAGAAGACAAGTAGTGAGTGCATAAATGCTGCCAGCTAGAGAATAGAGGAACACAGTACCCTGCTTACTCAGATACATCCACAAAAAAAAAAAAAAAAATGAAAATGAAAATTTTGGGGGAATAACTCCAACATACAATCACCATTCAAATGTAAATACCACAAAGTCATAATGTCTCGGAGACAACAAACCATCACAGTCCACAGAAAAAAGCAAGATAAAGCAGTAGAAACAAGGGAGCAGGATACAGACCTAGAACACATCCTTGAGGAAGAAGCAGCATTGGAATACCCTGATAAGGAATTCTAAAGAATTATATTTAAGTGCCTTCAATGTATTGAGAGACAGATCAAGGAAAACACTGACAAAATTAAGGAAGCCACAGTAACCCTAGAACAATTTCAGAAGAAAATACAAGAACAAAATGACAAAATAAATGAAAAATTAGAAATGACACAAAACCTACACACAGAAATCCAGAAGATTAATACTAAATTTTCAGAAATAGATAACACATTGAGAGGGCAAAAGAGTAGAATCTGATCAATGGAAGACAGAATTAATGTAGAAGACAAATACCTGAATACTTCTTTGGAAATGAATCAGTCAGAAAAAAAGATAAAAACAAAATGAAGAAAGGCTAAGGTCCATGTTGGGATACCATCAAAAAGAATAACCTACTTGTAAGGAACTCAAGAACAGGAAGAGAGAAAGAAAACGACTGAGAAAATTGTCCAAGATTTGTTGGAAGAGAACTTCCTTGATATGATGAAAGATGAGAATATATCCATTCAGGAAGTCCAACAAACCCCAAACAGGATAGACCACCCCCAGAGAAAATCACAAAGGCATATCATCATCAAACTCACCGAAACCAAAAACAAAGAAAGAATTCTGAAAGCAGCATGGGAAAAAATGAAAAAGGACCTACAAAGGACAACCAGTAAGCTCTGATTTCTCACAGAAACCATGCAGGTGAGAAGGCAGTGGGATGGTATATAGATAGATAGATAGATAGATAAAACCCTGAAAGAGAAAAATGTCCAACCAAGAATTACATACCCAGCAAAATTGTCCCTCAAATATGATGGTGAAATTAGGACATTCCAGATAAGCAGAAATTAAGGGAATTTGTTAAAACCAGACCAACTTTACAAGAGATGCTAAAGGGAGCCCTTTGCACAGAGAAGCAGCAACAGCCAGCAACAACCAACCGTCCACTTTTCAAAGAATTGGCCAGGGAAAACCTTATAAATAGCAAAGAAACACTGTTTGATACATTACCACGCAACTTTGTGAATAGTCCGGTTAGGTTAGAAGGCTCTCAAAATAGGACTGGGAAAGAGCTGCCATCATCTGAGTAAACCCAGCCTTAGTCCTATGGACAAGGCAATGCTTTCGAGACCTCCATTTGCTGATGTGGCACCACTCAAATTGAAGAGAAACAGCTGCAGACATCCATTAATCATTGGAACATGGAATGTACAAAGTATGAATCTAGGAAAATTGGAAGTTGTCAAAAATGAAATGGAACACATAAAGATTGATAT